TCCCACCTCACAGTCAAGGTCACCACTCCTGCAGCCCGTTTCTCTCATACTGGATTCGCATTCAACATGCTCTAATATCGCCCAGGTGACAATAAAACACCCCTCCTGTTAGTACACACAGACCCAGGGAAAACTCCTGGGATTGGAAAGCTACCTCTGGAAGCAGAGGGCAGGGAAAGGCAGAAGAGAGAGGCTGGCCTCTCCAGTGTGGGAAGTGGTGGAGCTCATTAAGGGAGGTGCATCCCGGGATGGCTGCAAGATGAAAGGAATCCCCACGCTCCCTGACAGTTGCCAAAGGGTTACACGGTGAAAGGGGGATGGGCAGAGTACCAGGGCATGAGTGCCACCAGGTACGGGAAATGATGTTTGATCAGGCCGACGTCCAGGAACCAGCTCCTGGGGCAGAGCAGGGGAGGGCTGCTGATTTCTGCGAGAAAGGACATCGCTTATGATCAGAGGGTCCCTCAGCGGGGTTCACGGGAAGCAATCTCTGTTACAGCCGGGGTCCAGCTCACGGGTCCAGCTCACAGTCCAGTGCAGGGATCTGGCCGCTGTCTCTTCGCCACACCTGCCCCTCACTCTGTCTCCCCCTGCGGTTACCGCCCCCAGGGCTTCGCTCTCTCTTAAAGCAAAGCTCTGACAGAGGTGTGAGATGTTCGGTCTCCACTTTCCTCTTATTCTCTTTCGGACCCATTCCAACTGGTTATTTCTCCATCCTGCCTTCACGCCAGCTCTCAGCTGTGTTTGACACACGCAATCCACTCCCTCCTTGAAACTCCTTATGGCTCAGGGACTCCGCACTTAGTCTCACCCTGGGTCACAGTCTGCTCTTTCTCGTCTCTTCTCCTGGTTCCTCCTCCTCATCTTCTTATAAATATAGTTCAGTTGTCCAAGGCTCGGTCTCTTTTATAGATCCAGTCACCCCCTAGAGGGTCCCATCTAGTGCCAAGGCCGAAGGTCCATCCTAAAATCAGGACTTCCAAACTTCTGTGTCCAGTCCTAACTTCTCCTCTGAGCTCTAGACGAATCTATCCGATTATCTAGTCAACAGCTCTACTTGGACATCCGATCACTGTTTTATGTTACTTTGTCCAAAAATGAGTTCTCGATGTTTCTCAGACCTCCTCGTTCTCCGTCTTTCCCTCTTCCCACATAAACGGAAGCTCCACTTTACCATTAGCTTAGGCCAAATCCCTGAAATTATCCTTTATTTCTCTACTCTTCTCAGATGCTCAGTGTATCTTATAGTCTCCCCTTAGTGTTCTATAAGTGTATAGACTATAAGTGTATCTTATAGTCTCATCGGACCACGCAGCACCCCACTGCCACCACGCTGGCCCGGCAACTGCCGTCCCTGGCCTGGATTTCCATGACAGTCTCCTAAACTGGTCTCCCTGCTTCCACCCTGTCCCCTAATTCAGACTCTTTTCATACAGCATCCAGAGTAAAACTTTCATTTGTCATCTCGCTAACTGACTTGGAGTCTCTTAGCTACATTTTTTAGCTGTATTTAGATGGCAGACTCGATATACTTAGTGTATAGCTAGGACCCAATATCTGGCATTATACTAAAACAAATGTACTACTACTACTACTACTAATAATAATAATAATACACCCTTTGGTTTGAGTGGCAGGTGGTTGATATTGGTGCTTTAGTGGATAAGTGTACCCACAAAACCTGGAGGGGAGAAAATGAATCAAACAGAGACCAGGACGAAAAAACCATTTAGGAGCAGCCACATAGGACAGAAGCTGGCGAAGGACATAAATAAATGTATCTTAAGGTTCTGAGGAAGCACAGAGTAGAAAATCAGTGTAGCCACAATACACGACCGTTTGTCTTTCAATTCAACATTGATCACTACCTGGTTTTTATCTGCCAGTTTACTGACTACCTCCTCCTTTTAAAATGTAAGCTTGATTTAATTTACTTAAATATCTACAGATGGGAGTGGCGGCTTCTATCTCCAGTGCTTGACGCATAGTAGGTGCTCAATCAGTATTTACAGAACGACTCAAGACACCAAATTAGCTTCACAGAACAATGCTTTGTTTTTGAGTTTTCGTGAATAAATCAACCTAAGCCGCCATCTTCACAGCTCACAACGCACCTCTCCCTTTCATTTTAAGGGTAGGTGAAGATGGGGGAAAACCTAGCTTTAATTTGTTTACAGAAGACGGAGGCACCAAAATTATGAGAATAGTATCCCAATGACATTACCCAGAGAGTAACACTGGACCTGTTCCAGTTTCCTCACCGGTAATGTGGAGACAATTATAGTACCTATTTATAGGGCTACTATGAAGGTAAAATGAGACAATGCGTGCAGAGGCCATAGGCGGCAGCTCTAACTGCATCTCCACATGCAGCTATTGGGCTGGTGTTATCGTGATACGTGCGTCGGTGGTACACTAAACCTAAATGGCTACATCATAAATCCACTCGAAGCTGACGCTGAATCGTGGCGACCCCCTAACACATTGCTTCAGTTGTGCTGGCTGGAAAATTGCTGCTTGGCTATGGCCCATGGGAACATAACATTTTGGGGCTGCTTAATTTGGGGTCTGCATACCCCTGGCAGACCCAGCTGGCTGAATAAAGAGTGTGTTTCCTATAACTCACTGGTTTCTGGTGGTCCGTGTGTCTGTCTGGGGCTGGCGGCTACAAGTTTGCTCCCCGTAATTCACTTGACGAACCCACAGGGGCAATGGTATCTTTCGTGACACAGAGGTTCCCAACTGTGGCCTGTAGCCGCCAGGGAGCAAGTTAGAGGATTTCAGGGCCCAAACCAAGTTATTGCTACTGTAAACGGAACTGAGCACGCTCGCCTTTACAAGTCGCGCTGTGAATCGCTGGACAGCAGGGACGATGTCTTACCGAGTTCTGTGTCCCCAGAGCCTAGCAGAGCACCTGACACGTGAGTCAATGTGAGTCGATGATTAGTGAATGACGAGCACATGCCGGCCCCTTGGTGAGCGATTGGGATCCTCGGTCGCCTAGAGCGCGTATGAGCCCAACCAGAAGCGCAGGAGTGCGAATCCCGCGGCCCTGCCCGCACCCAGGTGCGGGGCACCCTGGACGCGCCGGAGCGTAACTCGGGGCCGCAGCTCCGCACAGGTAGCGCCCCCTGGCGGCCGCCGCGC